AAATGAGGTAAGGGTCTTTGTTCTGAAGGAAAAGTGGGGGCGGGGGGTAGGGTGGAATCTGAGAGCAGCAGATGGTCTGAGTCAAATGGCAGGGTCCAATGATGGATTGGAAACTTCAGCGTCACAGTCTGTTGTCAGCTTCAAGTCTTTGATGTTATCTCAAGGTTGGAGTCTTTATCTCCTAGGGAGAGCTCAATAATAACCTTAGTCAAATATCATAAAAATATCTGACTTGGATTTCTAATTAACGTGGATGCAGTTTTCCTTTAAGTTAAGGGGGGAGTTTACAACCATCTAGGTTGTCTTGCCTCTCTTGTATATCTCCTCTTGCTTGCAGATGAATAGAGAAGTAAGAAAAACAAGAAACTTACTTTCAGTCCTTAATTGTAGGTGCACAGCCTCTAACGTAAATCAACATATGAGGGGCTGATTTCATCTCTGGGCAGTCTCTCAGTTCTTCTGCTAACCTCAAGGAATTGAATGATTATCAGTTCCCAAATTAAGGGCTGACTGAAACATTCTGTTTGGTCTTAGTTACCCCAAAGAAGGTTGTTTTTCTGGCTAAGGTCCCTTTCACCCCCAACGTTTAGCATACAGTAGCTGCTCAATAAATACCTGTTGAGTGTTGAATGAAATGTTATATATAAATAGGTGAAGTCCACTGAGAAAGGTACATTATTAAGACACTGAAGAAAAAGATGCATTTTTACCACTGTAGCAGTAATACAAGCAATCATCTTAATTATACTAATCTGCTTTCCTGGAATAAACATTTTCCTTCAGTCCTGGGGAGAACAAGCCTGATGACTTTACCATTTTCCATCTCTGAGAGCTAATCACAAAGGAGGCTGGCTGGCATATTGTGTCTGTCTAGCATCTCTGCCAGTTTCTGCAGAGAGCCTTCAAGCTGTGCCAAGACAATTTTGTCTGTGGACACAGCTCCAGGGGAGGTGGGGATGGTGTCTCCCCCTACCCCCCATTGCCCTTTGCAGCCACCAGAACCAGGCAGGTAAGGGCCATGGAGAGGCTGAGTGTCCTCCCTCTGTACTCGGTGCATGGGTGATACCTGAAGACTCCACTGGGATCCACCCTCCCCTCACCCCTGCCACCCCCCAACACACACACCAGCACCACCATGTATATACTCTTGGGGTTTACTACAACTTCTAACAAACTGTGTTGGAAACTAAAAAAAAAAAAAAAAATTCAGCCACTTTGAAGAGCCAGAAACTAAATACTCATTCATGAGGTTTCCTTTTTTTTCTAACACTGATAAGATAATCTGTCTACTGTATGAGAAGACATTCTGAAAAGACATGTTATCTGTTGTGTGCTCCACAAGGAAGATACTTTTATGTTTTTATTATTTAATTAACTAACTAATTAAAGATGACCGGTAAGGGGATCTTAACACTTGACGTGGTGTTGTCAGCACCATGCTCACCCAGTGAGCTAACCGGCCATCCCTATATGGGATCCGAACCCGTGGCCTTGGTGTTATCAGCACGACACTCTCCCGAGTGAGCCATGGGCCAGCCCCTTTATGTTTTATTTAGATTCAGAAGGATGTGGACACATCTGGTTGTGCTTGGAAAGAACAAGTCTTCTTTTGGCTCAATCTTACTTTTAAAGCCCAACTGAGATGCAGAAGAGTGTCAACAGTTAAAATTGAGAAGTATCTGATTGTTGTTTCTTACCTTTTTAAGTGGAGGAACTTTTCTTTCTTTTTAAACATATGTGCACATGGTGATAAAATCCACATAGTACAAAACAGGAAAGCACCTGATCCTTCACTAATTAGGATGTGAATTGTCAGTAAAATATTGGTTATTTATGTTCTCTATTCCCTTATTTAACATTTTCTTTATCTGATGTCCTCTGAAAGGCATGTTAGTCTCCTATCATGATTGTGGCTTTGTCATTGTTAAAGTGTACTTAAGTCTGCCCTTTTTTATGTGTTTTTTTGCCACTGGCTGGCTGGCTGGTTTGGGGATCTGAACCCNGTTGTTTCTTACCTTTTTAAGTGGAGGAACTTTTCTTTCTTTTTAAACATATGTGCACATGGTGATAAAATCCACATAGTACAAAACAGGAAAGCACCTGATCCTTCACTAATTAGGATGTGAATTGTCAGTAAAATATTGGTTATTTATGTTCTCTATTCCCTTATTTAACATTTTCTTTATCTGATGTCCTCTGAAAGGCATGTTAGTCTCCTATCATGATTGTGGCTTTGTCATTGTTAAAGTGTACTTAAGTCTGCCCTTTTTTATGTGTTTTTTTGCCACTGGCTGGCTGGCTGGTTTGGGGATCTGAACCCTTGACCTTGGTGTTATAACACCACGCTCTAACCAACTGAGCAAACCAGTCAGCCCCTGCCTTTGGTTTTAATTTCGAAGTTGTGTTATTAGGTAAATATTAGGTAAGGTTCGTGTCATTTCTTCTTGATAAAGTCTGCCACTTGACAATGTGACATATTACTCTTTGGCCCTTTCAAAGCTTTTCTCTTTCAATTCTATCTTGTCAGATACTAAGCACAAAGAAAGCTGGAGTATCTGCCACGTAATGACTTTTGGGCTGTACACCACCATGCTGAAGGAGCCTTGTTAGAGGAAAGAAGTCACTTTAGTTCAGGGTTTCTTAACCTTGGCAACACTGACATTTGGGGCTGGGTAATTCCTGGTTGTGGGGGCTGTTTAGCAGCATCACTGGCGTCTACCCACTAGATGCCAGTAGCCATCCTCCCCAGTCCCCAGTTGTGACAACCAAAATATGCCTCCAGACATTGTGAAGTGTCCCATCTGTCTCTTGGGGGCAGAACTGAAGACTACTGGTTGGCAACAGACTGAAGAACATTGCTGAATATAAAACCCAGGCACTATCTACTTTGAAGAGATAAACACTCTTTAGAAACCTTTTCCAAAAGAAAAGGCTGTCTTTTTATTCTTCACTGGAAGTACCTGAAATTAGTACTACAGAGATTAGTGGTTTTACTCCAGTTAATGAATAAATATAACAATGTATTAGTCAATTTCAGCAGTGGAATATTTTAAATACAATGACGATTTACAACTTTCAGAAAGAATGTATTCTGAATTCAGAGGCAGTAAATCCAAGTCTAGATTTTCCTGTCCTCATATGTGAGCACCCTGTGTGAACCTCAGAATTGCTTCCCACTCACTCAATGTCCAGTTGGCTGCCCTGCCAGTCTTCCATCTGCAATCTTGCCCTCAAAAATAGTGAGAGTAGATTTCTGTCCTCTTGTGAACTAACCACTGGTCAAACTAATGAATACATTGAAGTGGATTCAAGGGATATACAAGAATATTCTGGGCTGTCTGGTTATTTCACTTGGTTAGAGTGCTGCCTTGTAACACCAAGGTCAAGGGTTCAGATCCCCATACCAGCCAGCTGCCAAAAAATAAATAAATAAAAAAGAATCTTCTTATGACTGGATTTTTTTCTCTTTCAATTTTTTTTGGGCAAAATAAATAAATAAAAAAGAATCTTCTTATGACTGGATTTTTTTCTCTTTCAATTTTTTTTTTTTGGGGGGGGAGTGGGAAAAGAACTTTGCTTATAAAAATTAAGACCCACAATTAGGCTGGCCAGTTAGCTCAGCTGGTTAGAGCACGGCCTTATAAAACCAAGATCATGGGTTCAGATCCCTGTACCAGCCAGCCACACACACAAAAAAACAAATAAAAAAAGACCCGTGGTTAATATTCTCATTAATAATTGTATTTGTTTAATACAGAGGCCAAAATTTACCAGCAATTGAGAACAAGCTTATACCTGCTCTAAGAACAAACTCTAACCCCAAACTGTGGCTTGATATATATTTTTTAATTACTACATTAAAAACAGCTTTACTTTTTAAAACTTTATTGATTTACCACCTGATCAAGGCATAGGCTATTGTAACAGTATTATACATAATATTTTTACATAGAAAACTTTACATGGCATTTCGTATTATATAATTCTGCTTATTCTTTCAAAAATGTATACATCCATTGGGCAAGGAATGCTTTTCATTAAATTATCAATATTAAATGCACTTAATCATTGTGTATAGATTAAACCAAAGTAGCTATTAACTAACTTTTAGACATTTTAAAGAGGTAAAATATACATTTTGCACATAAAGAAATATTCGATGTAAATATGCAGATAAAATTTTTAAAAAATTAGAACACTGAGAAAAACTACACCTTTGATGAGTGTCTTTTTTTTTAGAGCAAGGATTTCCAGATATATTCGTTCTTTAAAATACTGGCTTTGCTTTCTTTGTTTCCCAAACTGCAAAGCTGCTGATGGCAAAACTCCAGGATTTCATGTGAGTTCAAGCTATGTATACCTTAACACAAATGTTAAAACAGAATTCAGAAAATGCAGTATTAAGGATCCAGCTTCTACTGAAACCAATATCTGTCTGCATCATAACAACAAACATTTGAACGAGATGGTCATACTTGCATTTGTCAGCAGTTCCTTTAATAACTAGAAAGACTCTAAATGTATAGCCATAATCACAAAAGAACAAAAAAAAGTTGAGATTACTTGCATTTGTCAGCAGTTCCTTTAATAACTAGAAAGACTCTAAATGTATAGCCATAATCAAAAAGAACAAAAAAAAGTTGAGATTTTTTTTTTTGCATTTTGTACAAAAGTCACCTGTCAGAGGAAAATGTTTCCAGATATATTATTATATAATTTTCATAATGTATGTTCTTTGGTTGTATGTGAGTAGTACAGGGAAAAGGTGTATTTGACTTTAAAGATGCGTATTAGAAATAATATATCCCATCCACCGTTTGTTGTTAAGGTGCCAAAGCTGGTGATTTCCTTAACAGACAATGAAGAAAAACAAAATTGCTCAAAACAGCAGTACTGTAACAAATAAAAACTTCTCTAGAGACCCAGCACATATAACCAACACTTAAAGCATTCTGAGAAAGAAATAAGGCCTTGGAAAATGCTTCACTCCGCTCCAAAACTTTGTTAAATAAATGGAGTCTGGCCCGATGTTGCCAACTCACACACACCCTTTTTGCTAGTGTTTGAATAGCACAAGCCACATTTACCACGAGAAAGAATAGATTTATTCACAAAAAAGAATTTAGGCTGAATGGCTTATTACTGGAGATACGGGATTTCTTCTGTTCGTCACTGTCTACTGACAAGAAAAATTACCCCGAATGCTTTTACATCCAGTGTTTAGAAGGTCCATTGTTGGTGCAATTCAAATGCCTCATTCAGAAAATTAAATCTTTTAAAAGACAAAGTTAAAAAGAAATTCAAGCCTGAATGTTCCAGCAAGTAATAAAATGCACTGACACATTCCCTACTCTGTAAGAGGCAAAAATTAAAGAAAAGGTATGAATAACACTGGAAGAAACTTGCAGTCACATTTAATGAAGAAAATGACATATGAGAACCTCTAAAAGAAAAAAAAATCTCCAATCAGGGATGTAGCTGTCTGAGAGATGTACTTAATGAATGAACATGGGTGCCCTCCATTTAGACCTTTAGTACAAATATTGATGGAGATGAGGTGGTCACAAGCTACAATACCAGGGAGGAGTAAGTCTTAGAACACAGGTTTCACAGTGTAGTGTGAAGATGTAATGGATTCCACAAGTAAGTCAATGTGATAACTTTTCCATTCATAGTAAAGTGTTCTTCGCTAGTCCCTTCCTGCTACATTATGTAGTTCCTCTTCTGTAATGTATGTAAATAATATAAAAACCTAAACCTGCTCTTTTTCTTTGGTTGAGAAACTAAAACACTTTTTGGGAAAGTAAAAAGTAGACAGAGTACTGCTGGCCAAAAAACCCCAAACATTTCTCAAGGCTGTTAAAAACAAATAAACAAAAACATAAGAAATCGGTCTCTTGGTAAGCAAAAGCACCAGAAATTCTTCTCTAGAAAGAAAAAAATATCTGATTTTACAGATAGGTTCCCAAACTACTAACTTCTAAGGCACCAGAGTTGACATCAATACAACCCAATTTACAGGACTAAAGAGCATAGGTAGAAGTCTGAATGTTTTAATCACTCTGTGTAACACTTTTTCTAATGCTTAGTGCTGCTCTTGGCGAGCAGTGGATGAGGGCAGAGAATGAAGCGTGTGTTCTCTTTCTCACAAACCCAGAATAAATTAAGCTTCCTAATATACTGCCTGCAGGCTTTGGGCCAGGCTTGTATATGGCCCACTTTATATGAGCTGCATCAGAATTAAGTTCTATTACAGTTAAGAGTATTGCACCATCATTAGCATAACTAACTAGCAGAAGAGTTGGACACATGCCACCTCCTGCCATTGTCACAGTTCAGCTGTGCTGGCCCCATGACAGCCCTGGTTCCACCCATGACATTTGGCTGAGGAGGTTCACAAGAGCCACCCTTCTCGTGCAGTTACTGTCCCTCTCCTGAAGGCCCTTTAATGGGGACTGTGCAAAGCAGCGATACTAACTCTCAGTACACTCACTCTTCTGAGGTAAAAATAAAAAGGTTTACTCAAAGATTAATGAACTCTGGTTAAATTACTACTTCATTCTCATTACTACTTCATATATTAGATTTCAGAGTATGTGAGATGGACAATGAATTCTGGAAATATTTATTTAACACCCATCCACAAATACTTACTTCAAGGGAGGTTAATCATCTTCATTGTTTATTTTTTCCTATAGACGTTTTCTCCCTAAGTTACTAAAACAGGGAGAGCCATGAGGCACTACATTTTTTTTAACCTTGCAAGCTCTTAATTCTAACTTAATGACTAAACTCTGCCTTCAACCAACATCTTCAATATCTTTTTGTAAAATCACTCAGACATTAACAAAACACAAAAACAATCCTTCTTTTCCCTACCTTTCCCCAAACTAATCTAACTACAGATGACTCATAACTGACAAAAACATTCAAACTTCTCTAACATACTCAACACAACAAAAAAACCCAGCATATTTTAGGTGACAGCTTTCACAAGAAATTTTATTAACATACTCTCTAATAATCACGAACCTATACAGCTATATTCAGTATTTTCAAGGCGAGTGATTTCCTCTGACAAAACATTTACAGCCAATCATGGGACTCTGCTAGAAAATGATGGCATTTGCAATGACAGATGTGACAGACAGTTTAATCAGTAATATGGAATGACAGAAATGAAACAGGTGCCTCAGCTTTTGTGTTATCTGAATATTCAACAGTTTAAGGAAATACCACAAGCCTTAGCTGGGGACTTTGATGGGGCCAGCATACAGGCCATCCTCATCCAGGTCATACTGAAATCCAAGAGGCTGACTTCTTGATTCTATGTGACCCTTCACAAGATGTGCCAGTTACAGATGGCATGATGTACGTCCTGCAGAGCTGCAGCAGTGGCTCAAAGGAGTCAGGGTTACCATACTGGTGAGGGTGTTGCTGGTACCTCAGATGTCTCCTCTGGAATCCATATCTTATACACAACACCTATCCGTAGGAAGAACTTCCGTAGAACTGCTCGGAGCTCAGGGATCAGATCAAACTGCATAATTTCACACAAGTAGGGGTAGTAGGTTGAAGCATGTGCTTTGAACTTGAAGTGGGAGAGAAGCAGAGAGGTAAAATTAGACATGGAACTATTTTTTTGCACTCGTTTTTCAAAAATATTCACCTTACCCTGGAACTTCTTACAATATCAGTGCTTTTTCTTGCTATTAGAAGGTTGTTGCCAAAAAAGCTTGTGTATTTAAACTTCTTTTAATTTTATTTGGATAGTCTTGCTACAAAAACCAATAGCTCATTTTGTAAAGTAAGTTCCTAGGTCTAAACCAGTGTTTCACAATCTTAACCCTCACTTCTCACACTGAAAATCATTGTACTGGGCTGGTCCGATGAGAGTAAGTTATCAGAACTTATTAGCGTTAGTGTGGCTAAAGTGAGTACAACTGCCCCCCGCTAAATTTACAACAAATTTATAACTGCTAAATTTCATTGTGTTTAAAAAAAAAAAAAGAAAAGAAAATCACTATACTGTTCCTAACAGCAACACTGGTGGTTTAAACTTCAGCCTTTCTCAACTGACGTTCTTCAGGAGAAAAAGCCCTAATATCCCAAGGCATCCATTGTTTGTAAGGAATTAACTTCTCCCCCATTGCATCTAGAATGGGGCAAATTACATAGCCATCCCTGGGAGAATTGAGAAAACAGTTACTTCAAATTCTGAGTGAAAAGCCAACCCAAATCTTATATCCTAGAAGAGACATCAATTTACTTGTTTATACCTTTTCATCGTTTATTTTGAGGGTTTTGGTTAAAAGTAACAACAAGAGACTTGTCCAGGCCTCCCGATGGCTTTCAGAATTCACTGTGATGAAATAGGCAAGAGCTTCACTGCACACGCTAGAAGAATTAGAGATGGGGGAGGCACATCAAACAACTGATCAACATCTCACATTCAGTGGAGAACTATTTATTCTTGCAACAAGTATTTATCGAGCATCCGCTTTGGCTGTGCCTTCATGGGCAAATCACTGAACTTCAGATTCTTCAGTTGTAAAATGGAGAAAAATGACTGTACCAAGCTCAAGGAGTTATTGTGAGGATTAAATTAAATAAGTATGTTAAATGACAGCTTAGCTCAGACCTGGCACATGGCTAGGGCTGGGCGCAATCAACGTTTGCAGCACAATAAGCACAAGAAGAGCTTATTATTCATAGTTAATTATATAACTGCCTTTCTCTCTCCTCACAATCACATATAATTGCTTCTTTTAAAAAAAACATATTTTATGTTAAAAACTTGACACCCTTTAGAGACACTTTATGAGACTATGTAGGTAATTCTCTTTTGTGCTTGATTTAAATTGAAATGAGTCATCAGTGTCCCCTTTAACTAATTAATCCTTTTTTCAGTTTATGACTTGTTATATGTTTTCATTGTAAGACAACTAGAAAGTATATAGAAGTATAAAGGAGAAAAAATAATTCTATCATTCTAAGGGACATCTGACAATATTCTGGCATATTTCCTTCCAGTTTTTTCCCATAATTTTTTAAAAAAACATTGCAGGTAAATACAGTTTTGCATCTTGCTTTTTTTGGATGAAATTTATTTTTTATGAGTGTGTTCCCACATCAAGAAAAACAATTTTTAAAAAATCTTTTGGCAGCTGGCAAGCACAGGGATCTGAACCCTTGACCTTGGTGTTAAACACCATGCTCTAAACAACTGAGCTAACCTGACAGCCCCCAAAACTTCATTTTTAATGGCTGTAAATATTCCATCACAGAATATACTATAATTTAGTCATCCATTCCACAGCTGAGCTATTTAAAAATTTTTTTCTTTGTAAGTTACGTCTGCAGTGAATATTCTGTATGGGAAACTTGATTCCTATTTCTAAAGATTTGAAGTAGATTCCATAACAGTAGAATTACTGAGTCAAGGAGAATGAACAGTTTTGGGCTCTTGGTATATAATTCTTTTTTTTTGTCTTTTTCCGTGTCCGGCAACGGTTCACAACCCTCAGTGTTGCCCCCGTACCGGACCGGGACCGGCAACGGGATCGCAACCCTCGGTGTTGCCCCCGCGCCTCGCTCAGCCAGTGAGCGGGAACCGGTCTGTATGTGGGATCCGAACCCTTGACGGGAGCACCGCCGTGCTTCCCAAGTGGCGCACTAGCGCAGTGCGCCACCGGGCCGGCCCGTTGGTATATAATTCTGACTGCTTTCCAAAAAGATCATGTCACTGTCCACTTCCACCAACCATGCAGGAGGGTGCATGGTTGCTAGTACTGTATCTGCCAGCACCTAATCTTAAAGGAGTAAAAGGAGCATCTTGTTGATGCCCAGGAAGCTGGGTGGCAAAGATCTACTTTTCTGTCTGGGGCTTTCTTACTGGTATCCCACAGTCTCCCCATTGGTGCAATTCTGCATAATTGATGTAGACATATCCTGGTATCCATATGATTCTAATACTTTCTCTTTTTTTAAAAAACAAAGAATGAACGGTAAGGAGTTGATGCCCAGGAAGCTGGGTGGCAAAGATCTACTTTTCTGTCTGGGGCTTTCTTACTGGTGTCCCACAGTCTCCCCATTGGTGCAATTCTGCATAATTGATGTAGACATATCCTGGTATCCATATGATTCTAATACTTTCTCTTTTTTTTAAAAAAAAAGAATGAACGGTAAGGAGATCTTAACCCTTGACTTGGTGTTGTTAGCACCATGCTCTCCCTAGTGAGCTAACCAGCCATCCCTATATTGGGATCCAAACCCGTGGCCTTGGTGTTATCAGCACCACACTCTCCCAAGTGAGCCACGGGCTGGACCTAATACATTCTTTTTGGAAAGAATGAATAATGGGATGTTAGAGCTGACAGTAACTCTAAAGGGGACCTAGTCCAAGGTGACCTGCCCAAGGCCACAGGGCTCCACCCAGAGCCAGGACTTCACTCCAGCCTACTGACTTTGAGGTCAGAGCACTTTTCACTGCCCATGTTTTTGTGCCTTAAGGAGGATTTATGAGTGAAATAGATGAGGTTCAGCCCTCTTCAGAGCATTAAGAGAAGTGAAATGGAATAGTCACCAAGTAGAAGGAAAAAACAAAAAGGAAAACAATTGGTGGGTGGGGGGCTCTCAGCATGTAAGTACTTTTCTCCTACACTTTCCAATTCACAGTACTGTTGTGATGCATTTTGTATATGACAGATATGAAATTTAATTGAAAACCAATCTTCTTACGTTAAAAGTCGCCGCTGTATTTGTTCCCAGGAATCTCTGCGGTTCTCATCAACATACATTCGAAACAGGATCCTCAAACAACAGGCCAGGCTGCTGGTTTCTTGTTTCAGAAGATTGGGTTTAGACTTTCCCTTAAAACCTAGAGATCAGACAGTCAAGCACCCTTCTAGGATAATGCTGAGAAACTGTGTTGGAACTAGTAACCTAGTTATTTTAGGAAATACTGAAACATCTCAGATTCTTAATACAGCTCAATTATGATATCAGATGAAGGAAGTCCTGAGTCTCCAAAAGTCATCCTCTATATAAGATATACGTCATTCCTCAACGCCCTGAACTGTTCTCGACTTTGCTTGTTGGCTGCTGAAGCCACTAGTCTCATCTTCTCAAATCTAACAGCTCTTAAGAATTCTAGCATTTGGGGATTGGGGAGTGACTTGTCAGGTAAGGGACATAAAGAATAATTACGATCTGTAATAATCAATACGCTAACAAAAAATAAAAAATTTTAATTAATGGGGAAAAAAAAAAGAATTCTAGCATTTTTCTAAGTTGCAAGATTTTTTCCCCCACAAAGCATATACAGGAACACATTTTTTTAAACAAAGAAGTACCAATCAGCCAAAGAGATTTGCAAACCACTCTCATAAGCAAACCCTATTATAGGCAAAAACATAAAACATTTGGATATCTTAAAGCTATAGAGAAAAATAACATTCTTTAATTGTAGATTAAAATAGTCATTTGGGGCGAAAATTAAAGTAATGGTAACACGATAAAAATGATATAAAATATTACTTTTGTGCAAAGTTCAAAATAACAAGAATCCCACCATCACACCTGAAAAAAATATATGTATATACACCTCCAGGATTTATGTACTTATTTTTGGAGGAAGGAAGGAAAGAGAACCCCTAAAATCCTCAGAAAATATATGAATATTTTCTTTTTATTCTAGACTACCACTCTTTTTATATCATATTTAACTTTTAATTTAATGTAAATTTCATTGACTTGCTAGATCAATTCAATTCTCTAACTTTCAAACTGTATTTTCATCAAATATTTACTGAGAATCTACCATGTGCCAGGCAGTGTTCCTGGTACTGGGATGAAATCTATCCAGCATTTCCTTTCCCCCTGGATCATGAAAATATCTGGTAAGTTATTCCCTATGTTTAAAATATCAGGAATTTCCCAAAGGCTTTAATGTTTTAGGATGATGACCACTGTGGCCATCTATCCTATCTGCTGTGTGGCCTTACCTGCTCGCCACAGGACAGTCCGCTGCTCATAATTGGAGTTGAAGGCCTTTGAGAATAAATGGGACTCCTGCAAGCAGTCCAACAGCTTGAAGAGATGCTGGGAAGACATGTACTTATACATGCCTTGATCCTCTGTCTCTATGTGGATATCTGCATCCAGGGTGTCTTGCTAGAGGAGAAAGGATAGGAGGGCCAAGTGAAAAAGTTGGAGTGGTTTTGGGCGTTGCGACAGCAGAAAAGGCAGTTGCTACTCTTAAAAGTCATCCTCTCTATAAGATACGCTTCATTCCTCAATGCCCTAAACTAGTTCTATTTAGACTCTGCTCACTGACTGTTGAAGGAACATACTGATGGTGGGCTTGCCTGGCCAAAGTTATAGTTTTGTCAGTGCTGTCTTTGTTGCATAAAGAGGAGTGTGTGTTTCCAATTATTTTACAACAGGATTACATTCTTCTCTATTTTATAAAGAAATTGAAAAACAAGAAAATCAAAATGCAACATGTGTGATAAAAGGTGTAAGTCTCAAATATTCCAACTGAAAGACAGAAATTGGCCAAGTCCAAGTGGCCTATTTTATAAAGAAATTGAAAAACAAGAAAATCAAAATGCAACATGTGTGATAAAAGGTGTGAGTCTCAAATATTCCAATTGAAAGACAGAAATTGGCCAAGTCCAAGTGGCATCTTTGGCCTCAATCAGGTGATTGCAGAACTGAATAAGCTCAATGACTGTGTTTTCAAATGTGAAGGAAAAAAACCTTCAATACATGTATGAAATGCTAGGAAATTTTATTGAATGTGTGGCCTAAAACCCGAGACATAATTTGGGATTTATATTTCTTGAGAACTATAGGAATGAACCCATCTACTTTATAAGCCGCAGCTTACAAAAGGGAAGAGTATGCAATACTGCCCAAATTGATTCACAGATTCAACCCAATCCTTATCAAAATCCCAGCTGATTTCCTCGCAGAAATTGAAAAGCTGATCCTAAAATTCATATGGAAAGGCAAGCGACACAGATTAGACAAAACAATCATGAAGAAGAAGCACAAACAAAGCTGGAGGACTCACACTTCCCAACTTCAAAACTTAGTAAAAAACTACAGTAATCAGAAAAGTATATTATTGGCATAAAGACAGATACATATCAATGGAATAAAATGGACAGTCCAGAAATAAATCCTTACATTTATGATCAAGTGATTTCCAACATGGGTGCCAGGAAAATTCAACAGGCAAAGAACAGACTTTATAACAAATGGTGCTGGGACAAATGGGTATCACATGCAAGAGAAAGAAGATGGACCCCTACCTCCCATCCTATACAAGAATAAACTCAAAAATGGATCAAAGAGCTAAATGGAACAGCTAAAATTAGAAAACACTTAAGAGAATACAGAGGCCTAGCCTAAATCTTTGTGATCTTGAATTAGTCAATACTTTCTTAAATTTGACACCAAAAGCACAAGCGGCTAAAAAAAAAAAATAGGTAACTTGGACTTTATCACGATCAAAAACTTTTGTGCTCCAAAGGATATCATCAAGAAACTGAAGAGACACACAGAATGGGAAAAAAATAGCTGCAAATTATATATCTGATAAGGGATTCCAGAATATGTAAAAACTCTTCCAATTCAACATTAAAAAGATAAATAACAATTTAAAAATGGGCAAAGGATCTAAGTGGACATTTCCTAAGATAAACAAATGACCAATAAGCAAAAGAGAAACTCAATATCATTTAGTCATTAGGGAAATGCAAATCAAAACCACAATGAGATACCACTTCACATTTACTAGGATGACAATAATAATATATTTTTTAAAAAGGGCAAAACAACCATTGGTCAAGGTGTGGAGAAACTGGAACCTTCACACATTGCTGGTGGGAATGTAAAATGGTGTAACCACTTTGTAAATAGTCTGGCAACTCTCAAAAAGGTAAACATAGAGTTACCACATGACTCAGCAATTTCACTCCTAGGTATATACCCAGGAGACATATGTCCACACAAATGTTCATAGTAGCATTATTCATAATGGCCAGACAGTGCAAATAACCCAAATGTCCATCAACTGATGAATGGATAATTAAAATGTGGTATAAACTATACAATGGAATGTTATTCAGCCATATATAAAAGAGGCTGGCTGGTTAGCTCAGTTGGTTAGTGTGGTGTTGATAATGCCAAGGTCAAGGGTTCGGATCCCTGTGCCAGCCACCTGCCCAAACCACCACCAACAACAAAAAAAACCCCAAAAATAAAAAGAATGAAGTACTGATACATGCTGCAATACTGATGAACCTGTAAAACATCATGCCTAGAGAAAGAAACCAGATGCTAAAGCTCACATGTTGTATAATTAAATATTGTATAATTAAATTATAAATTTAATTATGAAATGTCCAGAATAGACAAATCTATATAGAAAGTAGATTAGTGGTTGCCAGGGGAATAGGGAGTGACTGCTAATGGTTATAGCTTTCCTTTTGCAGTGATAAAAACATTCTCAAATTAGTGGTGATATTTGTACAACTTTATAAATATACTAAAACCACCAAATTGTACAATTAAAAAAATAAAAAGTACAACCTTTGGGCTGGGATTTGGCCCCCAGATGTATTTTGTTCAGCAGTAATTATAAAATTTATATTAACTGCCAGTATATAAAATACAAGAAGTTTCTGTTATGAAAAAATCCTGACTCTGGCTCCTCTTGAAGTGGAGTATGGTCATGACTTAATCCACCTGGATAGCAACACACCAATGGAGCTGGGAGGTGGCAGCTGCTTTGGCTGGCTAGAGATTTCTGGTTTACCCCAGTCCCTACCCAACCTGTCTCACTCGCTCTGGAGTATGGTCATGACTTAATCCACCTGGATAGCAACACACCAATGGAGCTGGGAGGTGGCTGCTGCTTTGGCTGGCTAGAGATTTCTGGTTTACCCCAGTCCCCACCCAACCTGTCTCACTCGCTTATAGGATGTGCTAGCCCCTGAAGCATTTAAGTTTGCAACCCATGGTGAAAAGTTACTGCCCAACTTCTGGATACCCAATTCTCTATGTTTTTAAGAACCCCTCATATACAGAAAGTTGCATACACCAAACAAAAAGTGAACTTTCTGAAGGAAAAACTGGAATCTTTATATACACATTTTCCCTCTCATTTATTTATGGCTAAACTGTTTATCATTTATGGGGAATATTCCCTGTGATAAGTAACACTTTTTT